CAGTCTACAGACTGACCAACATCATTTATCTCCACTCCACCACCAGTTTCAGGCCTGGGGGGGAAACAGCCCTATTCTTTGCTCCTGTTCATGCATATCTATCAAAATTAAGTACTATGTTTCCTGCTGAGGTCTCAGCACCAAAGACAAAGTCATTGTATCAATAAATTTCTCCTTATTGTCTTTTCTCTTTGTGTGAGTTTTTATAGATTAAACTACCATTTTAAACAACATAATTCTTTTACCCAGAAGTACAATAAAACCAACTAATTTCATGATCCAAAAACTAAACCAAAAACAGCATCTCAATTTTCAGCAAAACTAATAGCTAAACAAACTCTAAACAGTTTGATAAATCTTTTTAATTATAACCTGCTCATCAGAATGCCTCTACACCTCTCTCTTATACATTGACACTAAAAAAGTAACCCCTGGCGCCAAGAAAGCTAAATCTACCGCCCCGTGCTGTCTAAACCAAGACAAATTAAATAAAAGGCAAACAGCTTTAAATATTATTGCCATTTGACACAAATATATGCTTCCTTCAAGTGTTAAGATCAGATTATAATTAAACATTCAATAGTTCCATACAATAAAGTTTACACTAAAAATATTATTAATTAGAATTAAGAAAGGCACCTTAAAATATGTCACGAAACATATGTCAACTTTTCAGATATTATAAACATGACTGTTCTGAAGTTTGGTTTATAGAGGAAAAAGATGTGCCAGGTTGACATCTAATAACATTTATTCATATGTGCTATTAAATTGCATGTTTTTTATTGCATTTAAAACGTTTTGTGTTACTAAAGAGAGTGGACACTTCAGGAGAAAACCCAGTGGAGCAGCTTTTTACCTCTGTTCGATTTTGATACCTTGGTCTAAAGTAACTCAGTACTTTTTATATTGACTAAGTGCATTTAAACAGAAATGTGTATATTACTTTCATAAAATTCTTCTACTTATACTTCTATACATGTTGATCAAAAGATGGCTTAGACAACTTTTACAAAGCTTTTATAACATTTCCCTTCATTAATGACATAACATTTGCAAAATAAAACAAAAAAGTAAAATGCAAGGGCCACATTGCAGCTGATGGAGCCGATTCTGAGATGTAAGACTTTTCTGATTCTCCCCCATTGTTAAAGTTGACATTTACATGTTAAGAAGGATTTATATTCTTTTTTTTTTTAGTTAATGTTATTCTAAACCTGAGTGCATTGTGTTCCAGAGCTCTTAGAGTATTCAGCTGCTCATGCTCTCTGTCAATATTGCCTTCTTTCTCTCCATTAGCTCATTCCACAGCGAGCAAAGGAGAGAGAAAAAAAATATTATTCATTGAGGTATTTCTATTTCTAATTGTATTTCTAGGTATTGTTATAATTGAGCTCTTAAAATTTGTTTTGTATTTTACAGACAAAAACCTAATTTTACTTTTGTACTTCAGCACAATGTAGAACCTTTTCATTTTTACTTAAGTTAAGACGTTCACTGTACTTTTATTTTTCCCAATGTCTTTTAACACAGGTATCTGTACTTTTACTTATATAAAAAGTGTAAATATTTAGGAAATCCCCGTTATTCAGTAATTATTACATTTCACACAAAGTTGCTAATGGTGGCATCTAGTGGTTTTGAGATTGTACATCAGGAGGCTATTGATATGTGTAAAAACACCCTTAATCTGCCCCAAATGCACCACAAAGAAAAACTTTACACTTTTGTCTAGAAAGTGAAGCACCATCTCCACAGCATTCACAATATTTTACTTTGAAAAACTTTTTATTGCATTTAAGATACATATGATTGTGTAATTGTGTTATTTCCATGTTTTAAACACATTACTACACACAAATGTGTATTTGAGTATCTATTAAGATAGTTGAATGTCAGGAAGGAATGATAATAATTTTCAAATGAATAGAATGGAAAATAATGTCTATGTGCAAAGTCCATGATACCATTTCTTCTTTTCATTAAGATTTTTTTTTGCTGAATCATTAAGTTGAGTTGGCATATAACTTATTGTATTTGAATGACTTGCTTTTATGGAGAAACTAGAATTGCTGAAATAAGTCGAAGTCCTCTCAAAAACATGTCGAGTTTCACATAACAACAGTTTGCAGCTGTTTAACAGAAAAAAGTTGGGAATATAGCTTCTCTAATAGGAGATAAATCCCAATAATTTTTGAACATCTCCGATTGTGATGGCTTCCTATCTTTTAACGTTTGGAAGGGAGCAATGTCTGCAGGATCCATGGTGTATCCCTCTTTATTAACCAGTTTTCCTAAGGATTTTACCAAATTTTTAAAGATCTTACTTTTTTGGGTGTAAGCTTGACCCTGTGACTCTCATAGCACTGCAAAACATTTCATAGGTCTTTCAGGTGGTCTTTGAATGTTTTTGGAATGGAGCAGGTTGTCAGCCAGATATGGCAGGCAAATTTCATCTCAGTTTCGCTTCCCAAACAGGTGTTATGGTTCTTATTTGTTGTGACTCTGAGTTTTCAGTTTTCTGTTATCAGTTGTTTTGTTTTTATTTTCCATGATCTCCAAGCATTCTTTAGTTACTCTCTGTTGCCCCCTTGTGCTTGTTTTCTTTCCCCTTGGATTCCCTCTTGCCAGTTCCACCCACACCTGCTCCTTATTCAGCTCATTAGTCCATCCTTTGTTCTGTTCTCCTTAAATACTCCACGTCTGCAGTCAGTCAGTGCTGGTTCCTTCTCGTTGCTGTATTGTCTACTCTGCTCATCTCTCCCCGGCTCCTCAGACTCATTTTTCCCCTGAAGTCTCCATGGTTTTGGTTTGTTTAATATTTTAAGTTTGATTTTTGGATTTCTGCCTCCTTTGGTCTGCAATTAAACCTCTCAGAACTCATCTCTGCTTCACTCGTCTCTGCATCTGGGTCCTCGAGCAACCTCACCACCCATTGTTGACACAGGAAGCGTTTTTAATCAAAATGTCAGAAATAGCATTGAGTTCTTTTTGGTCGACTCTATAAATGCTATTTATCATATTTTGAATTGAAAATGCTTCCTGGGTCGGAAGCAAAACATCCTTACATTTGGAAACAAACTCCAGTGTTTTTTTTATTTTTTTTATTTTTGGAACCTGTATCCCGAATTGCCCTTGTCTGTACCACATCAAACCTGCAAATAATAATTTGTTTCTTATGGATTAGATTAAGGAGCGGAGCTTTTTGTCTGGGTGAGAGAAAATGGACAATAACTGATACTGTTGCTTTCCCTGAGTATCAGCTGCCACCTTGGTCTAAAGATGTTGGATGCTGTCTGTAATGAGTTCCTAATCATTTCTCCGATGGTCAGTGTATTGCTGCTGTTACTGTACTGGCTGAGATGTCTATTTGTCCAGTTCAGTCTATGTGTGTTTTCCCCATCCTACAACCACTTGACAAATGACCATTTTGTTCAGGTTTAAAATAATGGTCACTTAGTCCTTCTTGGTTAGCTGCTGACAGTCCCTACAGTGCCATGTCCTGTTTGGATGGCTCTGAGGAGAATAGTTTTTCCTGACGCAGAGATGGCTCCTTTTATTACAGTTATCCCTCCTTTCAGTTGATTTATGATGTGCAGATGTTCTGATTCCCTGGGATTGACCGTAGGTTGTGTCTTTGCCTTTGGAGATACAGAGATTGTCTGCTAACACCCACCCACTGCACCAACAACTGCTCACTGTACTGGTTGTGGTCTTATTTCTCTTATTCTTGGTTCCTTACTGATTTTTGTAAAGTTCTGCTGTCTCTCCCACTCTAAGCTCACAGATTAATTGATCTTGGCAATTAGGACTTCATCTGTGACAGCTACACCATCCAGAAATCTGTCGATTTGATACTTCACGTTGTTGTTGGCCAAACCAGTATCCACTACCCTTTAGAACTATACTGTTCCTGAGCTCCTGGTTCAATTGATGATGCAAGAAGTAATTCCCTTTGCTAGATTTCCCTAAATAGAAAGTTATGTGGGGACTTGTTCTCCTGCATGGTGTTAATGAGCCTATGATAGCTGTCATTGGAGTTATCCTCTTTGTAATTCCCCTTTAGGATGATTCTAAGTTGTGAAAGGGTAAGATCATTAATCTCTAACATGCAACGAAGGTTTAGACCTGGGCTTGAGCTCTAATGACTGCTTCCACAATTTCAGTTTCACTGTTTTCATTTCAACCCCATTTCAATCCGATGGATTCAATGGCAGTTTGTCCTTTGGCCATCTTTTCCAATTTGGCATTCATTTGAAATCCTCTGCATATTACAAACTCAGGCAGCTGGGCTGATGGTCAAGAATTTATGGGCATGGGCTACAACTGGTCTTGGTTCTGGTGGATTTGTTCTCAAACATTCTATAGTTTGGCCATCTCCTCTTATATTTTCTTGAGGTATCCTGAAAACTCAATATTGCTTTTGTAAACTGGCCAATACTGTGGTGTCCTTACTGGCATTTTCTTTGGCAGTCTGTGTTGTAACAGCCTCCTTTTCTCTTTCCTTTTCAAATGCTGCAACATAGGCTAAAAAGTAATGTCTCCTGTCTCCTCCTCATCTTCAATATCCATTTTAATCACTTGTGAAGTTAGAACATTAGTGGGAAGCATTATCTGAAGGGCAAATATTCCCCTACATAATATTCAATTTTATTTCACATCCTCTTTTAGATGGAGAGTATTTAAAAGCTCTGACTTAATCATCCTAAGCACATACATTTACACTCAAAACACTCAAACACTCACATACTTCAACAAAGGAAAATAGCTCAATTCATCAAAGACATAAATTTAACCAGATAAACATTTCAGACAACTGTTTTCCGTTCACACCAGAAGGAGGATGTGAGAACATTGAACACAATAAGGACATGTTTTTCCTTGTCTGTAGTAGAAAGGGTTAGGGTTATCAATCCTGCTTCAACTCCCTACATTGCAGTACAGACTGGAACAAGGCTTCTAAAGAAGACAAGGGTGAACACATATCACTTCTCCAGCAGGTCAACCTTACGCCTTCACCTCCTCCTCAACGGGTCAGTCTGATTCCACCACCATTTCCTTAATGATGGGTCAGTCTGATGCCACCACCAACTCCTCCCCAATGGGTCAGTCGGATGCCATCACTCCCTCTCTGATGGTTCAGCCTTCTGCCAGCCCTAGTCCACTGCGAAGCCAAGTCAGTACTTGACCAACAGCTTGCTCAATGAGTTTAACCACTTAAGCCAGTTCCCAACACCACGACCCCAGCAGCGAGTGTTCCTCGTCTCATGAAGTCCCAATGATGGGAATTTCTTAATGGGAAGAGTGAAGACTTTTTCCCTTTCTTTCCACCTCCGTCATCTCCTTGCCAGCCAGCCTTTTCCAAGCCAGAGCCCTTCAGTGGGAAAGTTCCAGAGCCAGAGCCCTTTAGCAGGTTAGCCCCCAAGCCAGAGCCCTTTAGCGGGCCATCCCCTAAGCCAGAGCCCTTTAGCGGGCCATTCCCCAAGCCATAGCCCTTTAGCAGGCAAGTGATCCCTTCTCATCAGTCAGCTCCTCTCAGTGTTCTAGCCCCACAGTCAGACCCCTTAGGACTTTTTTTTCCTTCTCAGTCAGATCCTCTTAGCGATCCCTCTCCAGAGATGCCAGAGCATGCTGTATGTCATCCAGAGACCCCCGCGCAGAGTCTTCTGAGCCCTCTGATGGATCATGCTGTGAAACAGCTCTGTGAGGGTTTCCCTTCATGGCCCCTAAGTGGGTGCCACTCAACTCCAAGGCCTGTCAGTGGGTGGTCCTCGTCTTCAAGGTAACACCCTCAATAACTGGTCAGCTGATATAAAGGAGCAAGAGGGTGTGTAGGGATGAAGCAGCTCAGACAGGTATGGTGGGGAAAGACCATTAGGAGCTTTAGCGTCTTAACATCAACCTCATTTTGGGTGGATGTGACCCAAATGATAAAGCAAATAATTTAGGAACTGTAAGCCCAGATTACATGTGCAATACATTATTTGAAAGCTAACACCCTCTAGTTTCCTAATATTTAAATTGGGTGAGTAGAACACAGACCAACATGTGACAGTTCAAACATGACTCAAAGTTGTTGTTTTTTAATTCTCAAAATGATAGGTCTTTTTTGAACAGCAGCAATAACAACATTCTTGAGAAAAGGCAGGTTTCATTGTATTTGTTCTACATCATGTCAACCACAAATACAGAAACTTTCAGACCTGTAGCTGTAATAGTTTCAGAGCTGTGGGGTATGGAAGTTTTGTTGTCAGCTTGGAGCTGCGTGCAATGGCTCCACCTGCTGATAAACATTTTACCGGTGGAATTTTATGCATTCTGAATTATTACCCCCGCTTTAGGTCCACTGGGTCGCCAGCGACCTGGCCGGTTTTATGAGGTTAAAAGCAAATACAATGATTTTTAAATCAATCCTAAAACGTAATAGCAGCCAATCTAATGAGGCTAAAATAGGGCATATATGGTGAAATTTACATGTACCTGTTGAAAGACGTGCAGTAACATTCTGCACCCTCTGAAGCTAAGAAACACATGAATGAATGATACCCTTGTAAAGTGCATTACAGTAATCCAGCCAAGTGGTTACAAAGGCATGGGCAACTGTTTCAAAATGCTGACATGAAGGTCTAACCTTTGCGAGCTGCCTCGAGTAAAAGGAGCTGCATTTTACACAGAATAACTACCTCCTCCAAAGACAGCAAAGTCACAGGTTCAAAGCTGTGGAAAACAGGAGAAAAAGTACCAAGACTGAAGGGGTGAGCAGAGAGGGTATGATTTGGGTCCTAAGAGAAGTGACTTTGTTGACAAGAAAAATTTAAACAACTGCAAAATGCAGCAGATGATGTCTCTATACAGCTTCTATGTGGAACATTTAGAACAAAATCAATGGTTTTAAATAAAACAGACTGACTGTGACTGTTTGACACAATTTCATTTGATAATTGCGTCTCTTACAGTTTTCTGGTAACAGGGCCAGGATTCCTTCAATGTTTGGAGTAATGCCAGTAGTCTGTCCAATCCCTTTTACGCTCAGCTCTGCAACAGTATCTCCTGGCAGCTCGAGTGTCATCATTTAACCAGCTTTCATGCCTAGTTTTAGACTAGTCTTATTTATTAATTAATCAATGGTGCCACTGAATCTAGACCTGCTTTGCTAGCAGAATAAAACCATTTGCTGAGATCCTAGGTTTTATTTCCTGCAGTCTCAGGGATGTACAGTAGCCGAGATCAGCCGTACTTGACTTTTTTTTCCCTTTGACTTCTCGAGATAATGACATAACTATCTCGTTATAACGGTTAAACAATGAAATGTTTTCTCAAAATGACAAGATAATTATCTCGTTTACAATGCTCAATGCTCACATGGGCAATAACGGTGAGAACAGGCGAGGCATGGTTGAAAGGAATGGCACACCTTCTGTTGTTGGACTTCTGTGCTCATCATGGATTGTCCATAACGAACACCATGTTCAAGCATAAGGGTGTCCATATGTGCTCTTGTTACCAGGAAACCCTAGGCCGTAGTTCAATGATCGACTTTGTTGTTGTTTCATCTTACCTGCGGCCGCATGTCTTGGACACTCGGGTTTAGAGAGGGGCGGAGCTCTCCACCGACCACTACCTGGTGGTGAGTTGGCTCCGATGGTGGGGGAGGACGCTGATCAGACCTGGTTGGCCCAAACGTATTGTGAGCATTTGCTGGGAATGTGTGGCAGACTCCCCCCTTGAGAAGGAGCTTTAACTCCCATCTCTGGCAGAGCTTTTAACACGTTCCGAGAGAGGTGGGGGACATTGAGTCTGAGTGGACCATGTTCCGTCCCTCTATTGTTGAAGCGACTAGTCGGAGCTGTGGCTGCAAGGTTGTCTGTGCATGTCGTGGTGGCAACCCTCGAACACACTGGTGGACACCAGCAGTGAGGGAAGCTATCAAGCTGAAGAAGGAGTCCTATCACACTTTATTGACCTGTGGGACTCCAGAAGCACCTGATATGTACTGGCAGTCAAAGCAGCAGGTGAATCGGCTGGTTGATGAGGAAAAAACTCCGGCTTAGGAAGAGTTCGGAGAGGCCATGGGGAAAGAATTCCAAACGGTTTTGAAGTGATTCTGGTCCACAATCCAGCATCTCAGGAGGGGGAAGCAGTGCAGTACCAACACTATTTATAGTGGGGGTGGGGGGATGGGGGTGGTGGTGCTGCTGACCTCGACACGGGACGTTGTATGTCGGTGGGTGGAGTACTTCGAAGAACTCCCTAATCCCGCTAACATCTCTTCCTGTGGGGGGTGCTCCGGGAGTATGGAGTAACGGGCCCTTTAATAGGCGCTGTTAGGTCTCTGTATGAGCGATGTCAGAGCCTGGTTTACATTGCCAGCAGTAAGTCGGACTCGTTTCCGGTGAGGGTTGGACTCCGCCAAGGTTGCCCTCTGTCCCTGATTTTGTTCATAACTTTTATGGACAGAATTTCTAGGCACAGCCAAGGTGTTGAGGGGATCTGCCTTGGTGGCCTTACGATTGCATCTCTGTAATTCGCAGATGATGTGGTTCTGTTTGCTTCATCAGGGCGTGATCTACAGCTCTCATTGGAGCGGTTTGCAGCTGAGTGTGAAGCGGCGGGGATGAGGATCAGTGCCTCCAAATCCGAGACCATGATCTTGAGCCGGAAAAGGGTAGAGTGCCTTCTCCAGGTTGGGGAGGATGTACTGCTCCTAATGGAGGAGTTTAAGTATCTTGGGGTCTTGTTCATAAATGAGGGGAAGATGGAGCAGAGATCGATAGGCGGATTGGTGCGGCTTCTGCTGTGAAGCGGGCCTTGTACCGGTCTGTTGTGGTAAAGAGAAAGCTGAGCCAAAAAGCAAAGCTCTCGATTAACCGGTCGATCTACATTCCTACATTCCGGGCATTGACCCGTTTGGGCAAATTGCTTCAATAAACTCCACAGATAATGGAGTTTCATGTGAACATGTCACCACCTATAGTGGCGAGAGCATAACTAAAGTTAGAAATATAATCTGTGATATTTTCAATAGTTTTTCTTGTTTTTTTTATTTAGGTTTCTTTAAAATTGTACATGATTGGTGTGTATAATAACATATTTTGTAAGGTCCTTTTTTATGCATAAAATGTCTTAGAAAGTTTTAAGGTACAATGTTTTGCGCCATATTAGTGAAATAGGCTTAAGCAGACAGTGACATTTTGTCAGAGGGCACAGTATTGTTGATGTTAGTAATGGAACTAGAATAGACCTTGTAAAATTATTTGTGAAACCTAACCTTCAAACATTTGGCCAAAAAAGGTTTTGACTTCTCCTATAGTGTTTTTTTTTCATTTCATCTGATCAAAGTAGATATGAAAAAACAAAAATGTTGCACATGCATTGTGCAAAAACTTTGCTAAAAAGGGGTAGTTAAAAGGCCAAAAAAGATTGCACAGTCAGAAGTGACTAGGTTAGAAATGTATAATGCTGTGGTTTTGCTGGATCCTCTTTCTAGAACTGTTTTAACAGGGGTTTTATCTTCATATCAGAGTATCTTAGAGTAACACATTTAGATGCTTGTAATTATTTCACATATGAATAAGTGAAATAAAGACCTAGTTTCATCTGGCCGTGCAAACAAAGCCTCTGAAAAAAACACACATTTAAAAGGAATATTTTATCCCTACTTCTGTTTGCAACCTCACTTCATCCAGGTCATAGTCATTACGTAAAAGTTAAAAAAAACAAAATCCACTGGACTTGGTTTTCAAGATTTGAAGACGTTTGGCTACCTCTCCAGGAAGCTTTCTCAATTCAAATGTCTGGATCTGCAGTGAGTTTGAGTCTTTATATAGACAAGGCCTTCTATTGCTTGGAAACATGCAAATGGAAACCGATGAGTGTGTCGTTTGGTTCCATTGTTAGCCTGTAATATCTGAAACCTGTCCATGATTCCGAAGGTCTGTCGTTAAAGGGGTGATTGTCGTTAAAGGGGGGGATTGTCTCCTGTAATACCTGAAACCTGTCTATGATTGTTAAGGGTCGGTCGTTAAGGAGGTATTGTTCACCGGCTGGAGCGGGGAGCTACATTGTTCTTCTGTGAAGGGGTGGGGGGTGTGGTGATATCTGGAAGGGATCCTCTCTATACTGAATTGTAAGTTTTTGGAAGCTGGAATCTGAGTCCACAGAGGTGGTGAACCCTTAACAATCATAGACAGGTTTCAGGTATTACAGGAGGCAATCCCCCCCTTTAACGACAATCACCCCTTTAACGACAGACCTTTGGAATCATAGACAGGTTTCAGATATTACAGGCTAACAATGGAACCAAACAACCCACTCATCGGTTCCCATTTGCATGTTTCCAAGCAATACAAGGCCTTGTCTATATAAATACTAAAACTCACTACGGATCCAGACATTTGAATTGAGAAAGCTTCCTGGAGAGGTGGCGAAACATCTACAAATCTTGGAAACAAAGTCCAGTGGTTTTCCTTTTTTATTTTTTTTTTACTTTTACGGAATCCCACATAAATGTATCTGCTACTGTGAATTGGAAAATTGTGATTACTTGATATATTGCTCCAAAAATGTTACCATATTTGTTCACATTGCAAAATGATTTAGAGATAAAACTGACCCAAAATAGATTTGTTTCCTTAATACTGGTTGGGTAATCAGTGCAGGCCTTCATCCGGATATTTTTT